AACCGGCGTAAACAGGAAAAGAACATTCTTCTGTTCCTCAAAATGAGAAAAGATTCGGGAAGCATTTGTTATATTTGCGATTTCCAGAAATCACTTAGATTCAGAAATAAGGGTCCGAGTATCAATGATGTTATTTTTTCCTATCAACAGACACTGCTATTCAAGTAGATACACATGAATGACCTGATAAAATTTTTTAAACTTTTTCTTTATCAGTAAATAAAGTCCTGCGAAGCTTGTGACAGATTTTTGCTATCAGGCAACGAAATATATTCCAATTACCCTTAACAATTAATCTCAAGGTATTGGTATGCGTTTACAGACAATGATCGACTGAAGACGATATCAAAGGCCAATGAATTCGTCGCATTATTACCTAGACCGCGTTGAACGGATTGCAAGTATCATGCTGGCGGAAACACGCCTGTCATTCCTAACGGTTTTGAGTTTTCTCCCTCCAATCGTAGGCTTCTCAGCTCCTGATATAATCTTTCCATTGTCGAGGTAACGGTCGTGAAGGAAAGGAACCACGACCCCTGTTCATTGTAGCATATTTGTTTCCGCTTTCGACAACGAAACCCCTCGCCTCCGACCACCGTCTTATCACCGTGATGGGAATGTGATCGCAAAGTGAGATTTCGAATAATCTTCTTTTCATAGCTCTCACCGTAACAGATAGTTGGCCCTGTTTGGCTTTTGTGAGTGACCACGTCTCATTGCCATAAAATATTGTCGACAAGACGGTAGAAATGAAAAGGCAATGGCGGGTGTTTTTCCTGATGTTACTGAGGATGACTTCCTTGAAGCAATGAAACGCGCACAAATTGGCATTCTTTCTTCGTCGGATTTCTTCAGCGTGATCAAGTCGCATGCCGATTTCTTGGCCTAGGTGAATCGACTCTTTGGATCTGTTCGCCTCCCTCTCTCTAGGTCCTCCGCATGGCATCCGATCGCAGGATCTTTATCTCTGATGCACTGATTCGCAGTCCGACTTCTGCACCGTTTCAGTCGAGTACTTGCTGCAAGTTCTGTTGCTGTCTGCCGTGGCGTTTTACGCAAACAGCAGCAAGTTATCAGCAAACCTTGGAAGATTGAGTTGTTCGCCACTGATCCTAATGTCAGACAGACTGTACCTCAGGCGTATCCGACGCTATTTAGCCATTGCTTCCTTTAGTGTAGTGATGGTCGACTGATAAAACCATAACTCTCCTGTATGGTTTGCGATTTCTGCAGTTTTCGACTGTTTGTTCTAATTTTTGCAATCGTAACTTTTCCAAGTCCTACTCTTTCAACTTCCATCCAATGAACTTTCAGAAAACACAGCATTCTACAATACCGGTCTCCTTTCTTTTCATCCTCTTCCGCTTCTCCAGTAAACTCATTCTCTTCTGAGATCTTGCCCTTCGGTCTTGTTGACGCCATCACACCAGCTGATTTCGTGCTGTGCCTCTGAATTTCTCTTTGAATTTCTCATTGTAGTCGCTCGCTGACGCTCAACTTTATGCTGCAAGTGCGCGCTTGGAGCAGCGCTTCATCGAATACTTTCGGCCGTTGTCCATGGTGTGCCACATGTGCGCCTTCTTCTCGATTTTCTCCTCGAATGTTACCCTGGTCTGCTCCCGTCTGTGGCCATTGTCGATTCTAAATAATGACACTATTACCATGTCTGTGATGATACCGGTTCATCGAACATGATGAAGTCGATCTCGTTCTTCCTCGTCGCGATTTATGTCTATCTCCTGTCAGTCGTTTGGCTGAACCAGGTGTTGGCAATGTAAAACTGTATCGTTTGGTCACCATCGTCACGAAGCGACCTCTTCACTCATTTTGCTCTCCGTTGCCGTACATACCCGATGAACTTTTCACCTGCCT